CTCGGAGGGTGATTCCTGGCAGGGGGAGCACCACTTTGCTGTAATCAAAGTGCACAGGATAAACAGGCAGTGCTGCTGGCTTCGAAACACTCACTCACCTGCTTCTCATGCTGACCGGCCATTTCTAGTGCACTAGTCTTACCTGTGCACACAACCTGTTCCTCATTGAATTACTGACACTACTAGTCAGGCTCTCTGTCTTGCAGCCCTGCATGACATGTCTGGCTCAGGCCTGCTCCCCAGGTGTTAAGTACCAGTGCTTTAAGCACATGGGGCTGGAATATAAAATATTCAAGAGAATTAACAGCAGAGGACTAGCTTGAATTGATGCTGACATCTGTGCACAGGGGTAAGTCTGCAACTCTCAGCAAGACTTGCAAGACCCCCCTGCTCCTAGTGTGCCAGGTCCTTCCAGAGATCACTCAGGCTTCAGTCTCAAATGTTCAAGTCCTTCCAGCAAGCTTGGCCCTTATGTTTATCAGTCAAGAAGAAAATAGCAAAAGTAATCCTACTGCTGCACATTCGCTACACAGAAACTACCACACGCTCCTACAGTGTCTTCACCAGTGTAAGTCAGTCTGAAGCTACTGAAAACTTGGTGTTTGTCACTCAGCCTTGCAAGAAAGCATCTCTCTCCTCTTAGCATATTCAGAGTACAAACAGCAGCAAGTGCATCTCCAGGTATGAACCTAATTTGATCCTGCGGATCAAATATAAACATGCGGATTACAGGGAAGATAATCAGGTTGTTGCCAATAGAGAAGCAGAAACTGAGATGGTCCTCCTCCAAGGGAAGGGAGCAGCACGTCCCGCTCCTTGCAGGAATTAATTTTCCCTCTTTGCATGGAGCAACAGGCGACCTCTGAAGAAACATCTAAATCCCGATGGACCCTCCTCTAGGTGCAGCACTGCAGTTCCCAGCTGAGCATGAAGGAGTCCTTCAGCAGTAGCAACAGGCACTTGCTTTCTTGACCATGGTCCCATGCTTCTGGCTTAGCACATACACCCATTTCACCCACTGAACCATGGCAGCTGGCTCGGTGGACACTTGCTGTCTATGCCCAGACTCCATGCTCTTTCAAAGGATGGACAAGTAGCACATCAAGGGACTTGACTGACCTGGCTACCAAAACTGCTCGAGATGTCAGCATATCAGGGACAAGTGGCCTCAGCACGGCAAAGAGCACAGGCTAGGCACCGGCACCGCCCTGCCCATTTTTGTAGGATGGTACATTCTGGCTGAACATGAGCCGGCAGTGTGCCCAGGTGGCCAAGAAGGCCAATGGCATCCTGGCCTGTATCAGAAATAGTGTGGCCAGCAGGAGCAGGGAAGTGATCGTGCCCCTGTACTCGGCACTGGTGAGGCCGCACCTCGAATACTGTGTTCAGTTTTGGGCCCCTCACTACAAGAAGGACGTCGAGGTGCTGGAGCGTGTCCAGAGAAGGGCAACGAGGCTGGGGAGGGGTCTGGAGAACAAGTCTGATGAGGAGCAGCTGAGGGAACTGGGGTTGTTTAGCCTGGAGAAAAGGAGGCTGAGGGGAGACCTCATCGCTCTCTACAACCACCTGAAAGGAGGCTGTAGCTAGGTGGGTGTTGGTCTCTTCTCCCAAGTAACAAGCGAAAGGACGAGAGGAAATGGCCTCAAGTTGTGCCAGGGGAGGTTTAGGTTGGATGTGAGGAAAAATTTCTTTACTAAAAGAGTAGTTAAACATTGGAACAGGCTGCCCAGGGAAGGGGTTGAGGCACCCTCCCTGGAGGGATTTAAAAGACGGGTAGATGAGGCGCTGAGGGACATGGTTTAGTGGGCATGGGGGTGTTGGGTCGACGGTTGGACTCGATGATCTTAGAGGTCTCTTCCAACCTTAATGATTCTATGATTCTACACAAGGCTGGAGCCAGGTGGGTCCACGCTGGCGGTCCTGGGAATCCCCACTCTCCTGGGAGACGGTTTCCATAACAAGATTTGGAGGGGGTTGGCAGCCCATAGGCTGGGAGCACTAACCAGAGGTGCCCACACGTGGTGAAAAAGGGAAGAACAGACAGTTGTGCCCCTGATGGAAGTAGACACCTGAAGGGGAGTAGCCCTCTATTTCTCTTGCATATAACAGGTGGACCGTACATAGGCTTCATCTGGTGGATCAAGGAGGGCCTGAGACAGGGGTCACAATACAGCGGTGAAGGTTATCATGTATAAACAAAATGATCCTTTCTTAAGATTAGCGTGCAACATAAATGTTCCCAGTAGCACTGGTATTGATGGCTTCAAGGAAGGAGGTGTGAGATCACTTGCCATGGGTACATCCTGATCAGTAAGTGGCTGGCTTATGCTGTCATGCACATTATTATATTTTTTGAACCTAATTTGCAGTCTCTACTGCACTACTATGCCACTCCATCAGCATGCTCAGATATTAGCGAGAAATAAACTTATAAAAGCCTTATATCTGTTGTTCTTCTGTTCTTCCAAGATTAAACAGGAACTTACATATGCGATACAAGGTGAGGGGTGGACTTATATAGCCATTACATGTGAAAATGCTGTTGCAACAGACATAGATTGGCATTCAGGAACCGGCTGAGCTTCCTTTTCCAAAATAAACACTTAGATTTTACTGAATTATGGTTTAATTTCATAATCTACTGTTGCTATGTCTGTACAACATTGTACAAAACATAATCAAAAAGAACATTTCAGTCCCACGTAAATGTCTGACTGGCTGTCTGAGGATCGAGTGGCTTTGAGTCTTTGATCTAGACTCTCCTCTCTTCCAGATGCCGTCATCAAAGTACCTTTGGTGGTAAGGCTACAATGCTATACGTTCGTACAGTCATCATAACATTTTTGCTTTCCAGTCTCCTTCTCTGCTCAGTGATGGAATCCCCCAGCCATGGCAGAGGATCTCTGGTGGTACCTCATATTTCTGGTCAAACATGAAAGATTTTTAACCTCTTTTTGCATTAGGCAAAAACATTCTAGCGATGTCATGAGGAAAGGGCAGTTATGTTTCAAAGGTGATACTGATGGGGTAATTTAGGACTGATACATCCTTTTTTATAGCACTTGCTACAGTAGGTTTTTTTAAGTACAGCATTGATCTGCTCACACTAATACAACTGGTTCTAGGTTTCCATTCATTCCCATCAATGCATTTTCACTGTGAGTAGCACTACCCCATGTTAGCCTAGTCTGAGAATTTATCTCTTGCCCCGATAAAACTAGCAGGCGGATACTCTTTTCAACTTAGAGGTTAAGGGAAATAATATACTTAGCTGCTACTGGTAGTGGAATACATGCAGAACTGCTTCTACCAGAATTAGGAAACCTGCTGAGAATTACATGGAATCTAAAATGATTGCTTTGGATTAGAAAACCACACGCTAAAAGGCCAGCTTCAAAGATCTCTGGTGTGAAGAAATATTCTTGTTGTAGCCTGACAGCAGTTGAGTGGTGTGGCAGAATGATCTCTCACGCCTGTGTTCTCCATGGAAAGTTTCAATTTGGCCAATTATTTTTCCTCTCATCTTCTGTGTTCCTGAAGCTTCTTATTTGTGTATCAAAGGTCTAAGTGGAAAGCCATGATCATTACAAAAAGATACAATTCTCTTAAAGCTTTTTTCCCCATTTTGACTACAATGCAGCATCATGTTCAAAATGCAACTACTGGATCTGAAAAATAAAACACTCAGACTATAATGCACATCTGAAAATAAATACATAGCCTTCGTATAGAGCCAGTTCTCAGTGAAAACCTTCTCATTTGCATAGTAGTGCAGAGATGTTCTCAGGAAGGTCATGCTACAGGGTGGAGTCTGAAAATAAGAGAAAGAGAGAAGTAGCTCAGTATTGTAATGAGGGAGATGGTAGTCTGTAAGGTATACCAGGAGGGGGACCCAAAATGTTACAGGACCAAAAAGACCAATGTCTGCAAAAGGATTACAGGGATTCAACTGACCCATTTCTTCACTCATATAATCCCAACAAGGTATTCTGAATTGCATTAAAAGGAAAATATTTGACTCAAAGTAAAAGATATTTCATAATAAACTGAGTAAAATTGCCAACGATATTTATCCTTAAGTATATCCACCGTGCATCTATCCTCAGTCAGCTACACTGATTCTCTATTCACATCAGGATCCCCAATGACCCTGTTTAACTCATACCACGTTCCTCTCTTTCCTCCCTTCTCATTGCCTTCGGCCACCTAACACCAGCTTTTTCCTCACTGCTTCATCTAACCTTGCACTTCTTGCAGGATCTTCTATTCTGTAGCTCCTGCACTGTAGAAAAATCTAACCTAGATATTATCTTATTAAATGAAAATGGGCTATTTCTTTCTGAAAGATTTGCTCAAGGTCAACCAAAACATCCGGCTCATGTAGAAATCAAGTGTTTTTCTCATGTCTGCCTTTTAATTCCTATTTCTGTTTCATGCTTGATCACTAGTAGCTTAATTAAAAATTCAATAAAGCAGTCCAAATATACGCTGCCTTATAGGAGATTGCTCGTCAGTAAATAAAGCTGTATGGCTACCATTTATAAGGCATCTTGACAGCAATGACATATCTTGACATCACATGACGAAGAGAAACATTAAAGATTGTTACCTTTAATAGTGAGGAAGGCTTTGCTTGATGCACGGCCCAATTCATTGGTGGCTTCTACCATATATTCTCCTTCATCATGTTTTGTGACACCTAGGACAACCAGGGAGCAGACACCGAAGTCGTTTGTGCAAAAATAGGTACCATCATTGGAGAGGTCGCTATTGTCCTTGTACCACGTGATCTTTGGAGGTGGATGGCCTCCAACAGCACAGCTCATACGGCACTCGCTCCCAGTAGTCACCACATGAGGCTTCAATGGGACGAGGAATCTCGGGGGCTGGTTTTGATTAACTCTCCTGTATTTCTGTGGTTTGACTTGAAATTCAGCTGTAAAAAGAACAGCAACATACAAACACACACTGAGATACTGCTTCACAGCAATAGAGCTCAGGGTTTAAAGGACTGGTTTTCAATCATGACACTTGGTTGTGCAAAATGTCTGGCATTCTGCACTGCAAATTGCCAGAGATCCCATGCACCTAGGGATTGTAATCTGTGTTTCTTCTCAAATTAGCCAGAATTTAATTTTGAAGTCAGAAACTTTGGTTTCTGCAAAACTTAAGCCTTAGATTTTGCTGGGAATTAATTTTGTGGTGAATTACATGATATAATGGCTGGAAATAAAGGATCTATCTGCACAATGTCCATGCAGAAAGGACAAGCCTTCCCTGCCAAACTGGAATTTCTTAGGGTATCTCTATGCATTCTTGTTCTGGGCAACTAAATGTTCACAGGAGGAGAGACCCATTTCAGGATGGTGTGTTAGAAACAATAAAAGAAACAAAGCATGACAACACACGGCTAACTATTTGTAAAAGCTGTTTTACCCTTTGGTTTTCCAATTCTCCAAGGCTGCACACTTTCAGATGGACCACTGGCTCCCAAGTTATTTTTTGCCACAACCCTAAAGTAGTAGTCCCGGCCTGGGATCAGTTTGGTGAATGTGAACTTGTTGGTGTAGATCAGGTCACCCACCACGTGCCACAAGCCCTTCTGTGATTCACGTTTCAGGACTGTGTAGTAGAGGTTATTTTCCCATTTCTCAGATGCTGATGGCTCCCAGGTTACTGTCACTGTATTTGGCACATTCTCTTCCAATTGAATAGGTCCAGGCGATTGTGGGATATCTGTCAGATGAAGGCAAATAATATAAAAA